GTGAGAGAGAGAGAGAGAGAGAGAGAGAGAGAGAGAGAGAGAGAGAGAATTCTTGGAACTTGCCCCCTCCTAAGGCCCTCCTGAGGCAGGTGCAGCCCAGAATCCTGCCTCACCCTCTAATACCCAGCCAGACAGTGCCTAGCCTCTACCCTGCTGTGCAGCCTTAAGCAAATCACTAACCCTCTCTGGGCCCTGAGGCACTGCAATAAGAAGGCAAAGAGACCAAGTGGGCACTGCCACTGCATTGCTGCCTGAGTTCAGCACCACGGACAGGTCTGGGCCAGCCTCCCAGCAAGGGCCTTTGGGAGTTGGGAACCCACGCTGGAGAGGGGGCCCGCTGTCCCCCCCAGCACCCCATTCTGGACTCTACCCACACTCCCCTCTCAGGGATACTCTTTTATGGCGGGGGGGGGGATGCAAGGGCTGGGTTTGTAGGATATTCTAACTTTCCATTTGCTCCCACCTCCTGAGCCCTGGAGAGGGGGTCCTTCCAGAAGGCCCCTTCCCCAGGGTTTCTAGTCTCTGGAAGAATGTGAGGTTGGGGAGGGCACTGCTCTGTCCCAGTGACTGGAATGGGCCTTGCTTACAGTTGGTGCTCAATAATTGTCCACTTTATGCTCATGAGCCACAACCCCTGTAGAAGGCTGGACCCACGGCTGGAGTTTCTCTGTGGACCTAAGAGGCATCTTTGCCAGGCAGTGTGAAGTTGGGGGGAGGGTGGGATGGGCAGGGGCAATGCCCCTTCCTCCATTTGGGACTTGGCAGAACCTCAAAAATCCCAGAAACCAAGAATAGAATCTTGGCAACAACCAAATCCTGGAACTGAAGCTGAGAATTGTGTCATTCAACAAACCCAGATTAAAGGCTGGTTTAGAGGCCAACCTGCTGCCAGGACTGGGGACCCTGGGCAGACTGGGACTGGCTGCTGCCCTCGAGGACCCACCAGTCTGATGGGGAGGACAACTTGCAAAATGGGATTTTGATCTTGCCTCTATTAAGGTCAATAGTAATAACAACCGCTGAAATTTACTCCTTTGTGCCAGGCAGCTCTAAGCGTTTTGTATGTATTGACTTTATTAACTCATCTATTCCTTTCAACTACCTTATGTTATCCCCATCTGACCTACTAAGAAACTGAGACACAGAGAAGCTAAGCGACCTGCCCAAGGTCACACAGCAAGGAACAGACACAGAGACAACCTCAAGTTCTGATTCATTCCAGCACCCATTCTTATGACCATGAGACATCACTGCTGGGATTCTGAAGTCAGCTGGTCCTGGGATTGGATCCTGGCTTGCTTGCTGCCTGTGTGACCTTGAGTGACACACTGGCCTCTCTGAGCCCCAGTTTCCAGATGTGTAGAGAGAGGACTTGGTTTTTCCATGCTGACTGTCTGGGAGGGTTGTGTTCACCCCTCCCTCCCTCTCCTCGATCCAGGTCCAGGATGGGGGCCACATCTGTCTGGGCCTTGAGCCTCCTGGTGTTCCAGATGCTGTTATTGGTGGCTGGGGAACAGGGTGAGTTGGCTTGGTAGGGTGGGAGACATTGAGGTCTGGGGGATGGACAAGATGGGGCAGCTTTTTAACTCAAGAGCCTTCTCCTGCTGGTTCCTTAGCTTGGTGTGGAGAATAAAATGAGAATAGATGAAAAGGGTCTTTGAAGTCAAAAGCGAACAAGACACCTGAGAGATTATTTTTAGTCATTGCCAGTGGAGGCTGGAGGTTCCTGCTTGTCACTGTTTTGCTATGATGAACTAGAGAGAGAGAGAACAGGAGGGAGGAAGAGGTGGGAGAGGGAAGGGAGGGGAGAAAAGAGACTAGTGTGCAGATTGATTAGTGATGTCTGCCATGAGCAGGGCAATAAAAATAAAGGTCTGTCTGTATACCTCTTCCTGGCATCTCCCCAGTGGTGGTCAAAAGCCCAGGCTTTAGAAATGCCTCCTGATTTGCTCTGTGACCACAGGTAAGTACAATACAGTGATGTCTCTAAACCTCAGTTTTCTCAACCCCTCAAAAAGAGGATAACACATGGCTACCTCTGTAGATGGTTATGAAAATCAGATGGGCTGCTTGCTATCTATAAAGTGCCTGTTACATAGAAGGTACTCCATAAACACCATTTCCCTTCCAATGGCTGCCTCTTGCTAAACTCCTAGGGAAACCATGGTTTCAAAGGACAGTGACTTTCTCATGGCCACATAGTGAGTCAGTGACATAGTCACTGGCCTCTGGGATCCAGACTCGAAGGGATTCTACCCCATTCCTCTTAGGCTCACAGATTGAGGTGCAGATCACAGATCTGTGCACTGCATCATGATGTTGTGCAAGCACCATAACCTCTCTGGCTTCAGTCTCCCTACTTGTAAAGTGAGGGAAATAGTCTCTGCTGGTCGTTGCCTCTGACTCAGGCCTCTGTCCACCTCTCCCACCCCAGGCACACAGGATGCCACTACTGCTGCCACGGCTGCCACCGAGAAGGGGCTCCACATGCAGAAGGTGGGGTCTGGGTTGGTGCGGGCTGCACTGGCGGAGCTGGCGGCCCTGCCTTGTCTCTTCACCTTGCGGCCATGGCTGGGTGCAGCCAGAGAAGCCCCTCGGATTAAGTGGACCAAGGTGCGCACTGCATCAGGCCAGTGGCAGGACTTGCCCATCCTGGTGGCCAAGGACAATGTGGTTCGAGTGGCCAAGGGTTGGCAGGGACGTGTGTCTCTGCCCGCCTACCCTCAGCACCGGGCCAACGCCACGCTGCTACTGGGGCCGCTGAGGGCCAGCGACTCCGGGCTCTACCGCTGCCAGGTGGTGAGGGGCATCGAGGATGAGCAGGACCTGGTGTCCCTGGAGGTGACAGGTCAGTTGGGGGCAGGGGAGGGGCCAACATTGGGAGGGAGAGGGGCAGAGCCTGAAGCCCATCCACTGAATGTCACCTTAGAAATCACTCCCTGAACAGTGAGTGATTCCCTTTCAATTTTTCTGATCAAGTCACAAAGAAAGTTTCCACAGGTATTACCCCCTCTAACACCTCTCTCTCTCTTTTAGCTAAGAGCAAGCAGCCTCTGGCTCAGTCTCTTGTGGACCACAGGATTCCACAGGATTTCATAACCTTGTTTTAAGTCCATTTCATGGTTACCAGCTTTCACAGGAGGGAAAGGATACTGGCTTCCTGTTTAAAATAGGACTACACATTTATTCTTAAAATAAATTTATGTTTTTAAAAAGTGAGGTTCTTTTAAAAAATTGATTGAAAATACATATTAAGTAAATACCAGCCTTCAAATACCTGTTTAACCACCTCCTATATTAAATTCTTGCTGTTGAAATATCCAGTGTAGTTTCTGTTTTCCTAACTGATCAAGGTGAAAAAGGCAAAAAAAAAAAGGTTTTTTTAAATTATTAAATCAAAGTCCAAGAACAGGGTGTGGCACACAATAGATGCCCGATAGATATCTGAGGAATGACTCAGTGAATGGACTGTTGTGTGGAAAACACCCTGTAAACTCCTGCTGGGAAATTGATGTCCCTTAACTTATGTTGGCCAAGGGCAAGTCCCTGCACCCCTGTCCTGGGGCACAGTCTTCCCTCACCCAACAGTGTCTCACTGCATATTTTATGGGGTCAGCCAGTCATCCCTTTTCAAGGCTTCCCTTCTCAAAACCAATAAACCTCAAAGAAAACTGGTAAGTGGTGAAGGAAGGGATTTCCACCTCTGAGTTTGTTCAATTAATTCATTCAGCCAAACATTAATTGAGCACCACATAACTGGGGGCATAGTCATGACTGAGACACAGCTGCTGCCTTCTGGGAGCTCTAGATTTGATAAGATGGAGCAAAATGTTTTATTCCTTTGTCTTGCTCAGCCATTTCTTTCATCCCTAAATCAGAATTTTAATCACAGTAAGCCCACTATTGATGCTTCATATCCTGACCTATATGACACCTCCTCCATGAAGCCTTCTGTGACTACATTCCTAGGGTGGGCAAGAACCACATTTGATCTCCCATTACTTACTGCCAGTGCTTCCCCTATCAATGCATGTGCTTAATTCCTTAAAGGCAGACTCTCTCTCACTCATCTCCATGTCTCCTGTCACCTCCAGGGCCTAGCCCTGAGCATGAAGAATGCTATCTTTGGAGTCAGAACTTACTGGATCTGAATTCTGGCTCTGTCTCAAACTGTCTATGTGGCCCTGGTCATATCCTGCAACCTGTGAGCCTTAGTTTCCTCCTCTGGAAATGGAGATAACCATAAAGTTGTAAAATTTCAATGACATAGTGCTTATAAATGCTTTTAATGTAGTAAATATTTGACAAATTCTAGCCCTTGATGGCCACTGTTATCAGTTTCCTCGTCTGTAAAATGGGGGCATATCAGTCTCATTCCCCACCATTGCCCTAGCGCCATGCCTGATGCTGAATGAATGGAGGTGGTACAGGGCAGTGTACTGCAGCATGTCTATTATTAGTAGACTGAGGGGTGGGGGACATTCTCCAGAGGGAGGTTTGTTCTTGAAGATTCCCGCATAAACTGGTCCCCTATCCTGCATGTTCCCCCACAGGTGTTGTGTTTCATTATCGGGCAGCCCAGGATCGCTATGCACTGACCTTCGTTGAGGCCCAGGAGGCCTGTCGTCTCAGCTCAGCCACTATTGCAGCCCCACGCCACCTCCAGGCTGCCTTTGAGGATGGCTTTGACAATTGTGATGCCGGCTGGCTCTCTGACCACACTGTTCGGTGAGGGGGTACACAGGGTGGGGAAGATGGAGAACTGGCCTGGGGAAAGGTGGTTCATGGGGGCCCCAGGAGCACACATCCTTGTCTTGTCAGGTATCCTATCACCCAGTCCCGTCCTGGTTGCTATGGCGACCGTAGCAGCCTTCCAGGGGTGAGGAGCTATGGGAGGCGCGACCCACGGGAACTCTACGATGTGTATTGCTTTGCCCGTGAGCTGGGGGGTAAGTCTGGGGCTGACAGAAAACCTCCCTTCCCTGAGCAGTTGTTACCTTCCCCAAACCCCATCCCTTCTAAGTCTCATCCTTCTCTAAACCTGCAGCCAAGACCTGGGCCCACCCTTTACCTGAGCTTTCCTCCCCTCCCTGAGCCCCTCTCCTTCTCTGTGCCCCTTTCCCCTCTCTAGGCCACTTCCATCTCTGAGGCTCTGTCCCCTTTTCTGAGTATCTCCCTGTCCCTGAACCCCTCTCCCCCTTCCTATCTCTCCTCTTCCTCTCCCCCTCACTGAGCACCTCCGTCTCTCTGAAGCCCAAGTTACATTATTTGTGGGAAAGAAAAAAAAGCTAAAGCCACCTCTTCTGCCAAGTTGCCGTTATATGGGGTGGGGCCCGCTTCACAGACTCCGGGAGAGGGTCCCCCAGAACCCCCTAACCTATGCTCGCTCCTTCCCGCAGGCGAGGTCTTCTATGTGGGCCCCGCCCGCCGCCTGACCCTGGCAGGGGCGCGTGCCCAGTGCCGCCGCCAGGGCGCCGCGCTGGCCTCGGTGGGGCAGCTGCACCTGGCCTGGCACGAAGGCCTGGACCAATGCGACCCGGGCTGGCTGGCCGATGGCAGCGTACGCTACCCGATCCAGACGCCTCGCCGGCGCTGCGGGGGTCCCGCCCCAGGCGTGCGCACAGTCTACCGGTTCGCCAACCGCACTGGATTCCCGGCTCCTGGAGCGCGCTTCGACGCCTACTGCTTCCGAGGTGCGTAGGGAGCCACGCACCGGGGAGAGCATTCCTGGTGGTCACGCCCCGGAGGGTGTGTCCCTGGTGGCCATACCCAAGGGCACGCACCTCGGTAATAGTCACGCCCCCGAGATCTTTGCTTTCTGGTGAAGGCGGACGCGGTGTAGTGGAGATACACGCGGAAACCACTCCGCGATAAGCCTTGCCCTCGGATGAAAGTTACGCCGCTGAGACATTTCTCCTGGAGCGCTGCCTTGGAGGGGGAAAACACGGCCCTAAGCTCTGGCGGGAACTCCTGTTTATGGGGTGGGCTATAAATCCTGAGGTCCCTGAAAGACACGCCCCTTGATGGAGCGTGTCTAACTTGGAGCCCTGCCTATAAGCAACCCCTGAGGAGGAGATGATGCCTAGCCTAGCCACGCCCCCTTGGCCAGGCCACATCCCCAAGGACGGGACCAGGGATGACTCTCGCCCTTGTGATGCGGCCACAGCCTCAGAAGCTGCAAAATTCAACTCTGAGGAGTTAAGTGTTCTACATAAGGGGGGAAAAGTCCTTTGTAAGGTCGTGGCCACGCCCATTAGGCACTTTCTTCCTACGGGGAGGAGCTACAGCCCTGGTCTTACCTGCCTCCATGAGAGTTGACCACTGCCTAGCTGTCCCTTGACCCCTTACTATGACCAGTTGACTGTGACCTTGACAGTGGGCCCAAGCCTGAACAGTGGGGATGATAGCTTTGCATCTCCCTCTCTCTCTCTCTCTCTCTCTCTCTCTCTCTCTCTCTCTCTCTCTCTCTCAATGGGGGATTCCAGAAACCACCCAGAGAGACAGAGGGGCGCAAAGAGACAGGGATACTCAGAAGGTCTATGTTGCAGCATGCTGGAATGTGGATAGACTTCAGGCAGAACTTCCCAGCCAGCCCCTGAGCCTAACACAACCTCTTCTGCTTTCTCACACAGCTCATCACCCTACACCACAACATGGAGACCCAGAGACCCCCTCATCTGGGGATGAGGGGGAGATTCTGTCAGCAGAAGGGCCCCCAGCCCAAGAACTGGAGCCCAGCCTGGGGGAGGAGGAGGTGGTCACCCCTGACTTCCAGGAGCCTCTGGTGTCCAGTGGAGAGGAAGAGCCTCTGATCTTGGCAGAGAAGCAGGAGTCTCAAAACACCCATGGCCCTGCCGTTGGGGGCCCCACACTAACCTCAAGGCCTGCCATGGAGGCTGAGGAGGCATGGCTGAGCACGGTGGCCCCCCACCCCAGCAGCGTGGAGGCAGGCACTGCTGAAGCAACCCCAGCTGGCCCTATGCCCAAGAGGAGGGGGCGCTTTAAAGTGTTGAATGGTCGCCATTTCCAGCAGCAGGAATCCCAGCAAGGGCTGGAGGTGGGTCTCAAGACCAGTGCCCAGCCCCCTACCCCAGAGGCTGCTGGGAATCACGTGGAGCCTCCCCTGGCCACCGGAGCCACAGACACCTCAGGGAGTGGCCGGAGCCAAAGCCCCTGGGCCGTACTGACCAATGAGGTGGATGTGCCTGGAGCTGGTGAGTGGGGTCCAAGGGGCAGATGGGACCTGAGTGGAGGTCTGAGGGGGCCAGGGGGAGGAGACTCCAAATTGCTGCTGGGTCCCCTGGCCTCACTGAGGCTCAGAAACCCTCTCTCAGGCCTAAACCCAGGAGACACTCAATAGAAGGACCTGCTGAGGTATAATTATAATTACTATTGTTGATATTGTTGCAGGTTCCCCTGGTGGCAGGAGCACCCCAGAGCCCTGGCTGTGGCCCCCAACCATGGCCCCACCCAGCATCCCAGGCCCCAGCAGGGCCCTTGGCCTGGAGCTAAAGGAAGCCAAGGGCCCCAGTGTGAGGCTGGCCATGCCCAACCATCCCTGGTCCCCCTCAGAGGCCACTGCCCTGGTTCCTAGCCCCTCAGAGGGTCCCAGCACTGCCCCCTGGGAGGCGTCCCCCCCGGAAACTTCCCTAGACCTCCCTGTCATGGCCATGCTTCGTGCCCCCAAACTGTGGCTCCCACCACACCCTACACCCCTCCCCACCCAGGACAGTGGGGTCAAGGAACATAATGAGGCCATGACTGCTGCCCCACCCTCCCCAGCCTCGGAGACCCAGGCTGGTCCCCAGGACCCCATTTATCCAGAGGTGTATTCTTTGTCCCCCTCCTTGGACCTGACAAGACAGGGTGGAGAGGCCATATTCCTGACATTTAATGGCCGTGGACCAGGAAGTCCTACTGCCTCCTCACAGGTAGCCATAGACACACGAGCTGGAGCCAGTCCTAACTCCCCCAGGGAAGACTTTGGAGAAATTGGGGGGACCAGCCCCACTGAGCTCAGCAAAGCTGAACACCCCAGATTTAGCCCACAGGCTTCTGTGGATGGGAATGTGACAGCAGATTTCACCCCCATGGAGACGGCCACTGAGCCCATGGGAGTGAGAGACATCTCGGGGTCTGAGTCTGGAGTCTTTAGCACAGCAGAGAGTCCCACTTTCAGCTCACAGGCCACCATGGATGAAGCACAGGGCAGTTGGCCCTCACTGCACAGTGAAGGACTGGACCTCCACCCCCATTCTGCACCACTGGGGGGCTCCGGAGTCTCCTTGATGCCTGGGGTCACCCCAAGTTTGGAGTCTTTGGCTGCTACAGATGGAGAAGCCATGGTGGGTCCCACAGATTCCATGACCACGCTGGACCCCAGTGATGCTGGTGGGGTTTGGGAACCTGGATCCCGCATGATGGAAGGAACTGAAAGCCCCACCTTGAGCCCTCAAGTAGCTGTGGATACAAGCATGGTGACATCCCTCATGTCCCTGGACCAGGGGGACAAAGTTGGGATCCTGGCCACATCCAGCTCCCAACCCCACCCAGAGCCAAAGGGCCAGATGGTGACCCAAGGAATGCTGGTAGCCTTGGTCTCTCCACAAGAGGGCGGCCCCCTGAGGGAGCCCACTTTTCCTTCTTGGACACCTACTGCGGCCAGCATGGATGAGCCTGTGTTAGTATCCTCGGGGGAGCCTACAGTGCCGTGGGACTCCCTCAGCACCCTGCTGCCTGCCCCCCGAGTCCTGGATGAGTTTGAGCTGGAAGTTCTGGCGGAGAATGCTGGTGTGGAGGAGGCAGCAAGTGGAGAGGAGCCAGCCCTGCCAGGGACCCCTGCAAATGGGAGTGCAGAGCAGAGTGAGTTCAAAGCTATGGCCTCATACAGCCCACTGTGGCCAGGGTTTGGAGACCAGGGAGAAAGGGTTGTTTCTGGGGGCCTGGGAAGGTTTCTAGCAGGAGATGACGTTGGAGGTGGATGCTTGTCAGGCGAGTTGAATTATGGAAAGGGTGTTCCTGGCAGAGAGAGGTACCAGCCTGGGCAAAGTCAGGAGGTCAAGTTGATGTATTTCGAGTCACAGTGAACGATGGGGGAATGATGAGGCGTTGGGTGGAGTTTGATTTGGGTTCAGTCAACAACTCATGTTCATGGCCACACTGAGCCCAGACAGTGCTGCGTAATGCTGGGGGCCAGCCTTCAGCAATGCTCCAGCCTGGGGAAGACAGAGCTGGACACAGACACCTCCCAGGGGGGCCAGATGGAGAAGATATGGCAGGGAGGGCTTCCTGGAGAGTGGGAATTGCAGCTAGAATTCAGTGGTTCAGATCGTGGGGGACCTAGAGCCACAGGGAAAGTGGATACTGGGAAGGGGTGGGAGTGGGGACTATAACCCCCATTTTACAGACAGCAAATTGAGGCTGAGGGTGGAATGTCAGTGGCCAAACTTCAGTGGGAGCCCAAGTCTGCATAAGCCTTAGCTGCTCTGTGTCCAGCAAAGTCCAGAAGAAGCCACCGCCCTGTTCTCCTGGGGCCAGGTCTGCCCACAGCTTACCTGCAGTAAACCCTTTTTTTAGGTCCTGCATATTGAGCTGTTTTTTGGTCAAGTGAGTTTATTAAAAAAAAAAAAAAGCAGCAGCTAATGAAAAGACACTTTCTGAGTTGCAAAACATTCTTATTAACACAATTGGTTTTACACTTGCTCCCTTTTTTGAAGGCAAAGTGGAAATAGTGGATGCAGGGTTTCGTCTCTCACCCTGTCACCTCTAGGCTGTGTCCAGGGCTGGATTTTCTTTTCTTAGATGCTCAGCAGGCAGGCAGACCCCAGACATGGATGCATGCATTGATAAAGGCTGAGCTTATCGGTGACAGCCCATGTTCTTGGGCTTGTTCGAGCACTTGACTGGAATCGTCTTGGTTAATCCTTACAACGCCCTTATGGAACAAGCTCTAGTATGATCCTCACTGTAGGATGGGGAGACTAAGGCACAGGAAGGTCAAGTGACTTGTGCAGTTATGCAGCTGGGACTGTCAAGGATAAAGGTTGAAACCAGGTTGACAACATAGCCTGTCTCAACCACTAGACTGTACAACATGTATTTCATTGGTGTTAAAAACAAACAAACAAAACACCTGAGGTCCTGGCAGGGCGTGAGCTCACCCTGGAGGGAGCAAAGAGACTGGTGTGTGTGTGTGTGGGGGGGCAGCGGAAAGGAGCTAGAGAAGGGGTGGGGTTAGAGAGGTGGGATGGAAAACATGAAGAGGGGTGTGAAGAAAAGTGCATTTGGAGGAGACCCCAGGGCCATGGCTGGCTATTTCTTGGACTTTGTTGTAGTTTTGGCTCCAGCCTGAAGCCAGTGGCAACTGGGTTGGAAGGAGGCAGGCAGCACTGGGGGGAGGGTACCTACCCACCCGCAGCTTGCGGCAGAAATGCTAATGAAGCCAAAAATAAATGCAGCACCAGCAAGCTACTGAGTCACCGCCAGTCCGTGGGCAGGTGTCGGCCGCTTGGGGCACCTGGAGGGGCTCACGTATCCCTGCGCCCTGCAGCCCCACGTGTGTGCACACACAGGTGCTGGGGTGGCACTAGGGACAGACACAGCCACAGGCCCTTCTGGTCATCCGTGGGGGCACATACTACCACCCAAGGGACAGGCTTCAGCCCCTGCAGGAAGGCCTTCAGCTACCTTCATTCAATTAGCAAGCAATTATTGAGTGCCTGCTATGTTCCAGGCCCCGTGCTAAGACCAAGTCCTTTGTCCTCTGGAAGCTGACATTCTAGAGCAGCACTCTAGAACTTTGTGATGGAAATGTTCTGGAGCTGCCCTATCTAATGCAGTAGCAACCAGCCACGTGTGGCTATTGAGTCCTTGAAAAGTGGCTAGTGAGACTGAGGAATTGCATTTATACTTTTTTTCCCTTTTAATTCATTTAAACTTAAATAGCTATATGTGGCTGCCATGTGGAAGGAACATCACGGCTCGGCGGGGGGGTTGGGGGGAGCACGGACATGTAACGATGATCCTAATAAATAACTAAATGATATTGGAGGTTAGAAAATGATATGGGCAAAGAGACAAGTGAAGCAAAGGGTGTATGTGTGGGGTGGGGGTGGGGGGCCAGTGTGTGGTTTCCAGTTCTGGAAGGGGTGTCAGAAAGGCCTCTCTAGCCAGATGAAATCTGAGCAAGCCTGAAGGAGGTGAGGGAGGAGCCATGCAGAGATCTGGGGGAAGAACTTTCCAGGCAGAGGGAACAGCCCATGCAAAGGCCCTGAGGCACCCTGCCTGGCCTGTAGTAAGAATGGCAAGGAGAGTGTGGCTGGAGTGGAGTAAGCAAGGGAGAGAGCAGGAATAGGGCAGGGAGATGATGGGAAGACCACACAAGGCCCTGTGTGCTGTGGTGAGGACTTTGGCTTTTCCTCTGAAGGCAATGGGGAGCCATGGAGGGACAATAACAGGTTTACATAGGCTCCCTCTGGCAGCTATGAGGAAAACAGCCTGTGAAGGGTGAGGGCGGAAGCCAGGAGACCAGGGAGTTGGTGACAGCTTGTTACCATCTCAGTTTCTTGTGAGGCCCCAGACCAAGCCAAAACAAATAAATTCTAGGTTATACGGGCTGGAGAGAGGGTCTTAAACTGGGCTTCCAGAGCCCTGGAGGCCAGTCTTGGCTCTTGTATTGTCCCGCTGTATGGCTTTGAGCCAGGCCCTTCCCTGCTCTGTGCCTCAGTTCTAGTGTCTGTCTGTGCAGTGGAAGTTTTGGACGCTGCCCAGACAAGGGAAGAGGTTAGGATGGGGGTTCTTTATCTGCCTCTCCCAGGCTCCAAGATACAGATCACCCACCCAAAGGCGCCCAGGCCCCCAAGATGGGGAGGGGAGACCCTCCTGCCTCCAGGGAAACCCAGCTGATGGGGGAAGTGGCTGGGGAGGGGGACAGAGACCCACATTCCTAAATGGTCTCTGGATGCCTGGTCTATGTTAAGCAATGCTGAGACCCCTCAAGAAGTCCAGCATTATATACACAGAGCTGGACATGCATTATGGTCAGGACTGGGGGAGAGAGATGAACTATTTTTATTTTCATTTTGTAGATGAGACAACTGAAATTCAGAGAAGCAATTTGACCAGGGTCCTCTAGTGAGTGGCAGAGGGATTGAATGGCCTCTCTGACTCAAGAGCCCATGGTTATATGAGTAACCACTGTAATCCACCACCTCTCCACAATATAACCATTGAAATTGCATCAAAAGAGTTGAGCCACCAAATGTAGGAGGTGATGGTTCCCACTCTTGCAACCTTATGTCCACTGCTGTGCTCTAAATTGTGAAAAATACAGTGGCCAGCAGGGCATGTCCAGAAGAGAGGGACAAGTCAGAGAGGGCACGTAAACCCATGTTCTAGAAGAAGACTTCCTAAGCAGCTTTGGGAAGCCCATTCCAGTTCAGGAAGGACTTTACCACAGACAGGACAGCCCACAGATGCTTTGGGGCAGTTCCTGGAAGGAGTAAGCTCCTTGTCACAGGAGCATGTGAGAGGAATTTGGTGCCTACCTATTGGGAAGTTATAGAGGGGGCTCCACAGAGAGGGGTTGGGCCAGGGGGCCATTAGGGGGTCATTAGGGGCCTGAGGTCTGGATTCCAAGAAGGCAAATCTGGTGGCCTGACTGCTCCCTGCACTGCCTCTCCATTCTGCAGCCCCCTCAGATCCCTGTGAGAACAACCCTTGCCTGCACGGGGGCACCTGTAGAGCCAATGGTACCATGTATGGCTGTAGCTGTGACCAGGGCTTCGCTGGGGAGAACTGTGAAATTGGTGAGTGCCCTGGACTTGCGATCTGAACCTGGACTTGTCTGACTCCAGAGCCCTGGGTTTACCCCAGTGGTCATCCCCATGAGAACTCAGGGTTCACAAAATGCTGGCTTTAGATGCTCCCTTCTCCACCCCGCTCCTTGGATCTGGTAAATCAGCCCCAGCACCAGCCAGCTGAGGTCTCATCCTGGGGGCTGAGGCTCTGGTGTGCTGCCTCCCATTACTACCAGGCAGGAGTGGGGGAGGGAAAGACAAAGGGATGATAAGGCTCAGACTCCTTCCAGCCAAGGGCCCCAGGGGATCTTACCCTTTCCTGGGTAGGCAGAGGTATAAGTACCACCACCAGAACTGTTGAACGCTAGCCCCAAAGCCCAACACAAGAAATGTTACAGATTATGAAATTATAACAATAAACATAAATAATATAGTTTCTTGAGCTCTGTGCATCATCTCACGGACTTCATGACCTTCACAACCACACTACTAATTATAGATTATTAACAATAAATATAAATGACATAGTTTCTTGAGTTCTTCCATTGACTCTTCACTCACTACCACCCTTGACAAAGTGCCATTATCACCACTTCGCAAAAAAAGAAAGTGAGTCTCGAGAGTGGAAGTGACTTGCCCAACGTCATACATGCCTCAGGCGCTGTCTACACAAGGGTGGAAGGAGAGGAAGTTCAACTGGATATCTTCCTCTACAAACAGCTTTGTGACTCGGTGCAGATCCTTGTAAATGCACTGGAACCCAGTTTTCCCAGATTCCTCATTCCAAAGAGACTCTCCAACTTCGGCATCCTGTGGGTCTGTTGGCGAAAGTATAACCTTCATTGTTCTAGAGTCAGGTGGAATGTTCTGCACACTCTGGCCCTCAGCCAGCCCTGTGGCACCTGCTCTCATTAATACTAATTTATGTTAATCATGTGAGGCTCCACCCCCTTGACCTCCAGAGTCATCAGACCATCTGGGCAGGGTGCTGCTGCTGCACTCAGGTTGAGGATGGATGGCAGGATCATGACCCCATCTTCTGCCTGGTTTCTTGCGGGAACTGGGAGCCAAGGGGAGGCTGACCTCTGACTTAGCGCCTCTCTCTCCCCTTCAGACGTCGACGACTGTGTCTCCAGCCCCTGTGAGAACGGAGGTACGTGCATTGATGAGGTCAACGCCTTCGTCTGCCTTTGCCTCCCCAGCTACGGGGGCAGCCTCTGTGAGAAAGGTGAGTCTCTTGCTGAGACCCCAGAAACAAGAGTGGGGATGGGTGTCACGCCACAGGCTTCCACACATACTTGCAGTTCTCCACCTCAGGTTCCATGGCTGTGAGTCCAATAGAAGGCAAACTTTTTTTTTAACGTTCACATAATGTAGAATTAACTTTTTTAGAGTGTACAATTCAAAGGCATTCAATACATTCTCAATGTGGTTGCAGCCACCACCTCTAGCAAGTTCCAAGACATTTCCATCATCCCAAAAGAAGACCCTCTTCCTATTACTAGTCATGCTTCACTCCCCATCTATCCAGCCCCTGGCAACCACTAATCTGCTTTCTGTCTCTATGGATTTGCCCGTTCTGGACATTTCATATCAATGGAATTACACACTATGTGGCCTTTTGTGTCTGGCTTCTTTCACTCAGCATCATGTTTTTGAGGTTCATCCACATTGTAGTGTGTGTCAGTGCTTCGTACCACTTTATCGCTGAATAATATTCCATATGTATTATATTGGATGGACCGCATTTTGTTTATCACTTGAGGGATATTTGGATTATTTTCCCCTTGTGGCTAATGCAAATAGTGCTGCAATGAACATTCATGTACAAGTTTTCGTTTGAATACCTGTTTTCTATCCCTTTTTCCCCTCATTCTTTTTGGTTTATGCCTAGGAGTGGAATGGCTGGGTCATATCGGTAATTTTATGTTTAACTTTTTGAGGAACCACCAGACTGTTTTCCTCAGCAGCTGCATCATTCTACATTCCCATCAACAGTGTACAAATGTTCCAATTTCTCCACATCCTCGCCGACACTTGTTATTTTCCCGTTTTAAAATTATAGCCATCCTAGTGTGTGTGAAATGGTATTTCATTGTGGTTTTGATTTGCATGTCCTAATGACTAATGATGTTGACAATCTTTTCATGTGCTTCTTGATCATTTGTATATCTTTTTGGCAGAAATATCTATTTGAGCCTTTTGCCAGGAGGTAAATTTTAGGCCTTTCTGAGACTATTTCCTGAGTTCCCAGATTCACACCAAGGGTGTGGCCCCACAGATCAGAGAAGGAGATACCAGAGGTGGGATGAGAGGGGATGGCTGTGACTATCTTCCAGTTGAATTTCTCCCAGCAACAAAGAAAAGAAGTGAAAAAGGAGGGAGGTGAAGTGAAGGAGGAGGGAGGTGAAAAGGGGAGAAAGAGCCTCAGAGGGAGTGGGATGGACCCAGGAAGAGGGGTGACCTAGCCCCACAGTGACTTTGGATGGTCCCTCTCTCTGGTGGGCTGGCTGTACTCATGACCAGATCTTCTCACACTCCTTTCTCATCTCCCAGACACAGAGGGTTGTGACCATGGCTGGCACAAGTTCCAGGGCCACTGCTACCGGTACTTTGCCCATCGGCGGGCGTGGGAGGATGCCGAGAGGGACTGCCGCCGCCGAGCCGGCCACCTGACCAGCATCCACTCACCTGAGGAACACAGCTTCATTAACAGTAGGGACTCTGGCATGGGCAGGGGTGGCCCTGCAGTCCCTTTGACAGGGCACCCCTCCGGGATCCTGAAGATGCACCTATCTGATTCATTAGCGCAAGCACTGACCACTTAATAATTCCCATTTCTGTTTATTTATTTGTTAATTCATACATTCACTTCATTCATTCATTCACTCATCACATATTTACTGAGCATTTACTCTGTGCCAGGCACTGTTGCAGGCACTGGAACACAGCAATGAGTGAGATGCACATTGTCCTGTCCTCTGGGAATGACATTCTTGTGGGGGATATAGGCAAACAAGTAAATATCTAATTAAATAATTCTATACTATCATTTAGCTGGTTCAAAGTACACTGATGACAAAACAACCAGGGGATAGAGGGCAACAGGGAAGCATCTGTGACATGTGGAATAAAACGAGGAAGGAGCTGTGCAGAGATCTAGGAAAAGAGTGTCTCGTTAATTAAGTCTGGCACTTATTGATTCATTCATTATCCCTCCTGCCGTATGTTCATCCATCCATTTATTCATGTTTCCCCCATCCTGTCCCATTAATTCTTTCATTTGTTCATTTCCTAGTTCACGCATTTCTTTTTCCTGGCTGTAATAAACACCGTCCTCCTCAGCTTCCTCCATCCTCAGAGACTGACTGGCTCACTGGGTGTCACCACCACCCTTTCCAGAGCCACCCGAAGGCTCTCCTGTCCCTGACTCTCTCATTTCTGCAAAGAATTGACATGTCTTCGTTTATTCCTTTCTCTGGCCATTTGTTTAAGCCACAAATCATGCCAAGGCCAGTGCCGAATTCCAGCCCTTTCTGTCCCCCTCCAACCCCCAGGTGAGAGGGCAGCCAGAGTCCCCGCCTGCTGGGGAAGAGGGAGACCTGGCTTCCAGCCTGTGCTCAGGCTGAGGAAGGAGCTGGGGTCCCCCCCTCCCCACCTGCATCCAGCTCCTAGGGGGCTCCTGCCCACGACTGGGGAGGGGCTCTGGATACACCCCTCACCCCCACCTCCATCCTCTTTTCCCTCCAGCCCACCTCCAGGGTGGGGAAGGGTCTGGGTCCACCCCTCTTGGATTCTCCCACACCCTCTATCCCACCTCCAGCCTGTACTCCAGGCTAGGGGAGGAGCGGGCACCCAGCCCTCATGACCCTCCCTCCACCCCTGCAGGCTTTGGGCGTGAAAACACGTGGATTGGCCTGAATGACAGGATCGTGGAGAGGGATTTCCAATGGACTGACAACACGGGGCTGGTGAGTGGCTGGAGCCTGGGTCTCTGCCGCCAGGCTGCTGACTGGGATCCCACCAAGAATAGAGGGATGTGGATGAGCCACATGTCTCCATGCCCTGACCTCACTTTACCCACTTGTGTAAATCAGCCATCAGAGGTCTGGAGTAGGCAAAGGAGCTTCAGCGATGCCCCAAATTACCTGACTTCCCAACCCTGTAGAGGGCCCATCCATCTAGTGACTGAGGCTGTAAACCCACTATGTGTGGTCCTCTAGCCATGGGCTCTAAGACATTCCCATTTCCCTACATCCCCCTGCCTGCTCAGCCTCTGTTATTGCTCCCTGGGACCCCTGCAGCAGGCCCCATACTCACACACACAAACACACACACACTTGCTACCTACATTCCTGCCCTTCTACCTGTCGGCCATGAGGACTTTATAAAATTGAGGTGACATCCACATAATATAAAACTAATCAACACCTGAAACAAATATAAAGTAATATTTATTGTCAACTGTAATTGAAACATAAAAAAATTATAAGTAAATACAGATAATAAAATTAATCATTTTAAAGTGCATAATTTAGTGGCATTTAGTTCATTCACAACGTTGTACAATCACCACCTTTATCTAGTTCCTGAATATTTTCATCACCCCAAAAGGAAATCCTATACATGGGGACCTTTTAAAAACCATAGATCAGATCAAGATTCTCCCTGCTTCAAGTTCTGTCAGACTCCCCATGGTTCTCAAGATAATGACCTACCTCCTCCTGCCATGCAGAACAGTCTGGTAGTTCCTCAAAAAGTTAAACATAGACTTAGCACATGACCCAGCAATTCCACTCCAAGGTATGTGCCCAAAAGAAGTGAAAGCAGGGACTCAGTTACTGGTACACACATGTTCACAGCAGCACTAGTCACAGTTGCCAAAAGGAAAAACCCAAATGTCCATCAACAGATGAATGGAGTCACAAAATGTTGTCCAATCATACAATGATTAAAAAAAAAAATGAAGCACAGACGCACCCTACAATGTGGATGAAACTTGAAAACATGCCTAGTGAAAGAAGCCAGACATAAAAAGACACATATTGTATGATTCCATTTATATGAAATGTCCAGAACAGGCAAATCCATACATTCAGAAGGTGGATTAGTAGTTGCCAGGGCCTGGGGGAGAAGGGATGGGAAGTAACTGCTAATGGGGACAGACTTTCGGTTTGGTGTAATGAAAAAGTTCTGAGAACAGACGGTGGTGAAGGTTGCACAACATTGTAGATCTAAATGCCAATGAACCAGAAACTTAAAAATGGTTAAAATGGTAAATTTTATGTTGTATGTATTTTGCTATAATTGAAAAAATATCCACATTCACTCCTCTACCAGAAGATCTGGCCCCTGCCCACCCTCTGGCCACACCCCAATTCTATCAAGCTTCTCCAACCACACTGGCCTCTATTCCGTTCCTCACATGGGACAAGCTCAGTCCTACCTCTGGGCCTTTACACTAGCTATTCCCTCTGCTTGGAACTCTGTTCTCTGCCTGCATCACTCCTATCCTTGAGCCTACAGTTCTTTCATTGCATCCTCAAGGAAGCCCTCCTGGACTTCCAGGCTGAGGTTACCTTTTGTTCAACTATTTCTCTAACAATGAGTGACCCATATGGGAAACAGATTTTCAGGGAGCAAGACAGGAGGCAGAGCACTGCAGCCTCCCAACCAGTGGAGAGGTGACTCAGACTGCAGTGGCAGCCACACTCAGGGCAGTCAGAACAGTGTCCGTCATAGAGATAGAAACACTGAGTCCCTAACAGTCTGAGTGGTCTGGCCAGGGGAACCCCACAGTGGACAGTGCCAGAGTCTGGGCCAGGACACCGGTCCCCTGAGTACCCCTTGCTCTCCATTCCTGCAGCAATATGAAAACTGGCGTGAGAACCAGCCAGACAATTTCTTCGCGGGCGGGGAGGATTGTGTGGTGATGGTGGCACATGAGAGTGGGCGTTGGAATGATGTTCCCTGCAACTACAACCTCCCCTATGTCTGTAAGAAGGGCACAGGTAGGCTGCCACCCTCCCCACTTTTCCTCCTGTTCAATATTTCATTTAAGTTTGTAAGTGTAAGACTCAAACCCACTCAAGAGTGCCTGTTTTTTTCCACCCTTGCCAACTCTGTACATTCTCAAACTTTTTGTTCTTTATTCATCTAAGTGCGAAAAAAATTGTGTCAATGTTATCATAGTTTGCACATCTTCAAGGATGAGAACAACCACTTGTTCATATGTTGATAAGTATTTATATGGATTTATTTTCTTATGACCTGTTAGTTTATCTCCTTTGCCTAATTTTCTATCAGCTTGCTGGTCTTACTGATTTGTAAGAACTCTTTACATACCAAGAAAACACTTACTTGCATTCTTGTGTCCACCTTTCTCTTATACTTTTGTTTAAGAGTATAAATTCTTCCATGTCTTTGCCAATTCTCGTGTCCTTTCATCCTTTCCTTTGCTCAGATTATTCTTCCTTCCCATCTCCTTCGTTCCCATCATGCATAAGAATTAGGGGGTGGGATGTGTCCAGGAGGTTCTGCCCATAAAGGGCTCCTGGTCTGGGTGGAGGAGACATACACAGCCCCTCTAGCCCTATGAGGTCACAGCTGGGCAAAGGATGGGACCTGGACAGGTGTGTCATTCTCAAAAAGAGAGGACACCAGTTCAGCCCCTGTGGTGGCCACTTCCCTAATTGGAGTTTCTTCCATCCCCAGTGCTGTGTGGTCCCCCTCCAGCAGTGGAGAACGCTTCACCCATTGGTGCCCACAAGGCCAAGTATAATGTCCATGCCACTGTACGCTACCAGTGTGACGAAGGATTTGCCCAGCACCATGTGGCCACCATCCGGTGCCAGAACAATGGCAAGTGGGACCGGCCCCAAGTCGTCTGCACCAAACGTAAGTTGCTACCCCCAGACATCCCCAACACAAGTTTCCAGCTATTTGTAGTCTCTGATTAAAACATGTTATAACTACACACATTGATCTGGCTGAATGTCTGCCTAATAATACAGCCTGGCAGATAAGTGGGAACTTATCAGCCTGCTTGGTGTTTCCTCCATTTCCCCTCCCCGCCAAGGAGGCCCACTGCATCAGGCCACCTTCTTCTCATCACCTTTTGCCATTTCCCTGTCATCCTTCACTTCCCTGCAGCCAGACGGTCCCATCGGATGCGGCGACACCATCACCACCACCAACACCACCACCAGCGTCGCCACCACAAATCACGCAAGGAGCGCAGAAAACACAAGAAACACCCAGCAGAGGACTGGGAGAAGGAGGAAGGGAATTTCTGCTGAAGAACCAGGCAAAAGAAAGCACAACCCCCTCCCCACATCTCCTCTGGAGTCTTCACCTGGGGAGACAGAGCCCAGAGAGAAACAAGAGGGTTTGGAAGCCCCTGAGCCCCAAACCACATCCCCCCACCATGTAATCCTTTGTAAAAAGCTCGCCTCTCCTCTTTCTTACATACACAGGTCCTCTTGGCAGGTGTAGCCATGAGTCTGAAAATCCAGTTCTAGTCAGGCTGGCATCTGGGAGCATCTCCCAGTGGAGGGAAGCACAATCAGCAAAGATCACTCTTTGCTGCACTAGATTTTAGTCTTTTGTTGGCAAGGCTGCCTGCCAGTGGTTGAAATAAGGCTTTGATGAGGGTACAAGAGTATATATTTGGATTCACACTAAGGAATTGCTTTTCACACTAGAGATTTAGGCTTCGTAAACTGTCAGATGTCCCAAATGCAGCCTGAAGCCTTTAGGGGAGGTCACTGGCTTTGGGAATAGAAAACTACATGGAAGCACACTGCTTGAACTTGACGACTGCTCTTCTTTTACCCTGGACTTCAGCCCAAGTTCAGTCTTTGGTCTTGGTGGATAAACAGTGTTAAACTCCTATGTACTGAATTTTAGGAATGTTTTTAGAATAATCTGTGCCCTCTGAGTTAGGGATCAGACTAGTCAGAGTAATAATGTGGGCAATGGAGGGAAAGTGTATTGCTTACCGTCCCAGGACTAGTCCCAGTGCTGAGATTTGGTGGTTCTGCATGTGTGGTGAATCAAACCTGCGCGCACACACACACACACAGATGAGAGGATATTTAGGGTTTGACAAGCCCAGATTTCTTCCCCCTCCATCTCTCAGGGAGACAAAGAACCTCCTTCCTGGACCAAGGAGGTGCCAAGTTGTCTAGCTCAGTGTCCGTACCCATCCCTCAAGCAGATGTTGGTAGTGCACTGCCCTGCCCTATCCCTGCCTCCATCCACTGCCTGGGAGACCAGAAATGCTTAAAAATTGAAGTGGTGACATCTACCTGCAGTCATGTTGTAGAGAGATGCAGTGTTAAAACCGAAACACACACACACACACACACACACACACACATTTTTCTCTCATATATTTTTTTAACTTTTTAAGTAGGAAAGAACTCACTAGGCCTTCTCTCCCCAAATCTACAACCTATAAAAGGACTTTCCAAGGTAAAGGCCAAGATTCAGCTCCTTGATCTCTGGGAGGAAAAGATCCACAGCTTTTCCTCCATGTTTTGTCTACTCTCAGCTCCTCCAGTCTGGGTAAAATCTGTGAATTGGTGTTAAAAACCACAGTGGAGAATGGCACTTTACAAGAAAAATAAAAGCAAACATATTGGTCTATCTAAGGGTTCAGTAGAAAACGGAATGTGTTGACCGAGCCTATGTCCCTCCTGAGAAGTAATAATTATAGTTGACAATTTTGGAGTAGGTACCATGCTAAGAACTTATACACTATCTCCTTGAATTTTCTCAACAACCTAGTGACTTAGGAACCATTATGTTCTCATTTGACACATGACAAAACTGAGGCTCAGACAAAAGAAAGACACTGGCTTGACGTCATAGCCAAGAAAGAAATAAGGGTTTGGTCCTGCCTCCATCTGATACCAAGCACTGCTCTCTGCTTTGGAGAAGGGACCACAACATAATTGCGTTCCTTCCTACATCCAGGGGCAGATTTAGGAAAAGATTGAGAAGTGCAAACTAGACTCTGGTCTTTGACCATGGTCTTTAGTCTACCCTGCTATAGACATTGTCCACTGTTCTGCCTTTGGTTTCCATTGAGAAAGCCCAGGGAAATAGGTTTGCCTTCTTGCTTTGATAATTCTTCTTGGTTTAAAAAATATGATAACAACACATCTTCAGTCATCCATGTCACAAAAGAGTGTTCCTTTGTTGTGGGACTGGAGATGCAACTTTTTTTGGGGGGGGGTCTT